CCCAGCCACACAGCTTGGTGTCTTTTGCGAGTAATTTTGCTGTCTAAAATGGCTAACAGCTACAGTTATGAAAAGTATTTCAAGAGCTCATAATGACTATGAATGAAATTCCTCTGTGGGAGGGGTCAGCATGGAGACCCAGGACTTACTTAAGCCCTGCAGTGAGTGGGATCTAAGAGGTGTGTTGGTCTCATATAAGCGTAAATGTCTATGGAAAATAATTCTTTCTGTATGGCAGAGCATAATGCTTTCTCTTTTTCATTCCTTTCCTCTGAATATTCAACTGATCCATTTGTTAATAGCCTAGATACTGGAAAGTTAATTTCAAGGTGCCAGACTCACCACCTGAAGACTTTGTGCATCCATCCTGTCAAGCAATCAACGGGTGGATCACGGCTAAGCTACACTGTTCAACTCTTAAAATGTTCTAAAGAAAAGCTTTTCACAGAAAAGAGTTTCAAACCTGACACCTCCAGAAGGCTAATGAGGAGCAAAAGACAGGTGGGCCACCCTTTGAAGGAACCATTTCAGTGATGCCTGGGTGACCTGCTTAGACCTGATGCCCTATTTCTGGATGTGCAATGTATGAAGAATACAGCCATTAGACTCATTAAATACATAAACTGAGGAGAAAAAGCCTGACTTCAAATTTGCCTTTTTACACTTACTGGCTTTTTGATTAAATAAAATAAAGTTTTATGTAACAGTTTTGGCATGAACTGCCTGGACCTAAAGTTTTATATAACAGTTTTGGTATGAACTGCCTGGACCTAAAGAACTGCACTGCAGGATGATGTCTGCAAGTTGTAATCTTCATCCCTCCTGTGCTGCTTGCCTCAGTGACCCAAATGAAGAAACCATTTTGGTTTCTTCATGCAGGCAGAGTCTCAGACAGTAGGTTTCTAAGCATACAAATTTATGAGAGTCCCCAAAGTTTGCATAGGGTAATAGCATTGCAGTAGCCAAGTCACAGTGCATGGTGGGAAAGTGGAGGAATATTGGTAAGAAGATATAAAGTGCTTCAGAACAAGGGTTGTTTGTGTGGCCTTTGCTTAGCTAACTTTCTTCTTTATTGCTCTTTAGTCATCACAGTTTGGTGTAATGTCATCCACAGTAGATAGTTTGCATTTTAGTGACACAGAAATTGTTAAGGCCACCATTAAATCTTGGAGTACTGTCCTAAACATAGAAATTTCACTCTTTTCTTGCAAAACTGTGCTCCCCTACCCTTTCTTATTAATAAACATGATATCTTTCTGTTTGCTTTCCTTTCATTCTGCACAGCTGTACTCTTCTCTTTCATCAAGAGACAGTCACAGTTTTGTTTATTACACTGAAATACAGACTTTTTTTCTTCTTTATTTATGAATAGCAAGATTGGATTTTCCTTATGGAATAGAAATTAAAACAGCACTGACATTTAGAATGTAAAGGAATTGCTCCAAATGATTATAGTCATGTTAAAATGAGTCACACACTTTTGGTCCAAACTTCCTGACATACACATCCATATATGTTAATCACTATGACATCACTGAAGAACTATTTTTACCTTGGTAATAAAAGATGAATGCATTTGTCAACTTGTCAAATTATATTTAATCCAGTGAACATACAGACAGGTTAGGAAAGACATTTGCTCACAAATAATAGCAGAGTTCAGTTCTGCATGTCTGAAAATGCTGCACGTGCAAGGGCATGTAAAATTGCAGTTTTGAAATGTAGGTGTAAAACACACTATAAAACCACAAACTAAACCAGGTTTACTAAGAAGAGTTAAACTCACCTGTCAACAAATGCATGGTGTAGTACAAAGATAGGATCATTTGCAGAACCTTGTACTTGGGACATGGAGCCATTCATGTATATGTGGAGTGCATTATGCAAACCGCTTTGAGATATGTTTGATATTGCAGTCCGTGGATCAGCAAAGCCTGTATATTCAAGAGGAAATCACATGCTGATATGACAATGTGTATAATTCTCTTTCCAGTAAGACTGAATATCAAAGTACCTACTTTCACTTCATTTACATTCAGCTTTTTAGACAAGGGCTTAAGAAAACATGTAGAGGAATGCTAATATATTTCAAAGGCATAGCAAAGATGAAATTATAAGCTAAATGAAAAGCCTTGCCATGTAACTAATGAAGCATGTTGGCAAATGTACTGCTTAACTGCTTTATATTTTTAAATTTCTTTGTCCATTGTGCCTGGTTGTTAGAAGACAGTGTAATCACTGCAGACATTTGTGTGTATTCATCTATTTATGCTGAGAAAAGTTATTCACTTTGTTTTCATTTTTGATCGTTATACTTACAGGTTCCTAAGATAAAATGGGCTATTTTATCTCGTCACATAGTCATTTAATATTGTTTTGTCTCTATAGAAGACATTATTCTATTAATAACAACCAACACAATAAAATAATAATCTTTACAAAAGAATATGGTAAATAATAATTTTCCACAGCCAGACTTGCAGGATGAAAGCCTGTAGATTCCTCCTATTTTGGAGGGCACTTAAAATATGGCCTTTCAGAAGAAGTCACACAGACCAACCCCAAATAGGAAGTGCTGGAAGATGAGCCTTTCCATTAGTTTTTATTTTGGTAGCCTGTCCATACCTCAGTTCTGATGTTGGCATTTCTAACAGCTGAGCTTCCTCCCTGCTTGTAAGGACTCCTAATAGAAGTCAACTGAACTATTTGATCCTTCTCTGGGATTTTCCAGGAGAGTAAAAGCAGAAACATACATTGTCCTCCCAATCTATTTCTTAACCTGATGCTAATTCCACTATTTTACTCTTGCTACAAAAGCTCTCTGTTGCCTTTCTTTGATCTGATTCCTGAAGATGTCTTCTCATAATTTGTGTAAGCTGTAGGATGAGGAAGCATAGCGGAGACATATTAAAACATCTTTACAATTCAATAATCAAATAAAAAGGGCTGTGAGCAAGCGTGTGCTGATTCGCAATGTTTTCCCAGTACTGTTGCAGTTCATCATGTCTGCAAGGTGGGGAAAAGAAAGATCATACCTATTCTCTTGAACACTTACATTATTTACTTATTTGGATCAAGAACTAGCATTTAACAAGGATCAGCAAAATACTTTTGAAGTGAATCTTCCAGCAGCCCTTCTGTTTCATGCTGTGACTCACATCACAGGACAGTCTCTGACTTTGCAGGCTGGATTCACTTGGAGGAAATCTAAAATGTGCTGACTATCAGTGGGTGCTCAGTTCGTGGGACTGAACTAGAGCTGGTGTGAAAGAATCACTTCCCTGTCAAAAACCTCATATTTAACATGGAATTCAGGTACACAAGTGCCAACTGTTTTGCTCTTTGGATTTGTTTCTCTTTGAGTCACACAATGTATTTACTGAGACATAGCTAGCAATGCCTTATGAGTAATGTCATACTCTGTGAACTCGGAATGCTGAGTTTTAGACCCCACTGGGAAATGATTGCATTGGTTTGTTACTATAAAATCCCTCATCGGGTTTTACCTCATCTGTTAACCTCTTCAAACAGGGAAAAAAACATCTGGCATAAAAACACTGGTAATTATAACAAGGGTCAAATCATAGCTGCGGCACCTAGGAAGCAATGCACCATAATAACCATCCATCTCTCTGATTGTAATAGTAGGACTAAGATTTTGAGAAATTCAACAGAAGTCAGAGTAGTTGGAGGAGGTAGACTTGGTTTCTGGTGAAAACTGCAAGACTTCAGGGTAGAGAGAGTCTGAATTTAGACAAGAAAGAGGACCATGTGAATGAGTACAGATAGCTGCATGTGTACTGTGATTATTGAGGATGCTGCATGGTGACATAAACAGCAATGGGAAGAAGTTCTCAAAGGGAAAACATTGCCCCCAGAAATTTGCCTGGTGGTCAATACTGTTACCTAGCTGTCAATCAGGGGAAAACAGCAGACTAAAATATTATCTGTGAAGAATGAAGTACATTGTCGGTATGGCTAGATCTCACAGGAAACTATGGCAACAATTCTGGCCTTCTTTGCTGATGGCCACAGTGTATGATCATTGGAATCAGGTGATGCAGCAATACTTGGAAATTACTGTGAATAATAACTGAAAATGATCTATCTGTATATCATTCTGAAGCAACTCTTCCACTTGTATTCAGCTGCATTATAAGTATGTTACAGGGAAGATAAACTTTATGCAGAGTGTAGGCAGAAGGCTAGATGGTTTATATCAGACTTGGGATACTTATTGGGATACTTCTTAATGCATTGGAAACACTTGATCTACTAATTCATAAACAAATATACAAAATACTCACTTTGGCACTGGGCAACTTTTCACGGAACATCTGCACACAAGCAATTTATCTTAATTATCAAAACTCTGTAAATGGGACAGATTTAGCAACCCCACCCTCCAGCTCCCAGTTAATTGGGGTGCAGTCAGTCAGTGTCAAAGGTAACATCATGTTTAACCATGTGCATGAGAAGTTCTAATATCTGATTTCTTGTTATGAAAACTCCATATAAATTGTTATCAGGAATAAAAACACAATGTGATGTTACTGAATAAGAATAAGAATAAGAATAGGAATAAGAATAAGAATAGGAATAAGAATAAGAATAAGAATAAGAATAAGAATAAGAATAAGAATAAGAATAAGAATGAGAATAAGAGTAAGAATGAGAATAAGAGTAAGAATGAGAATAAGAATAAGAGTAAGACCCTGGGTCTTACTCTTTTCTCTCAGACTTCTAAAAAGACTTCAGTGCAATCCCCTATTCAGGATGACATACTATGAAATGGGGTAGAGCAAATGAAAAAGAATATGTGAAAAAAATGAGTATTATTTCAGAGTACTGGAGACTTTGCTGAGGTGGCTGCAGTAAAATCACCTCCACAGCAAATGTGAGGCTACAGACCTGCAACTGCAGCAAGCTGAAATAAGAGTTCCTGCCTCTAGATGAGGGAACTCCACTTCCTCCACCTGCCTTGCCCCCTGCTATGCCTCTCTTTCTCATGCATAACTGCACCTCCTCAGTCCTTGTACTGGCTGATTTAACTCACTGTCCTGGCAGTAAACTACCCTGGAGTGCTGGGTTTCAGGTTTTTTCCAGCCTACTGAGATACAGCATCTCATGTAAGGGTATGATGAGAACCAGTGTTGGTACTAAAAAAAGAGAGCTGACTGTGGGATGGCAGAGACTGCACAGAGAAGCAGGACTGTCGCTCATGGCAGTGATCTATTAAACCATCTGGCCACTATAGGAAGCTGTAGTATTCATACATCCTTTTAAAACCTTATTTAATTATAGTGGATTAAAAATAACCATTAGGGTCTACATCATTGAAGTGATTGGAAATTTTACCAGTGGTTTCAATAATAGAAAAATCACATTTTTAAGAGATCATAAACCTGATTCTGCTTCTGCTCATAGCACTGTAAGTCAGCAACAATGATTCAGTGGGTTTGAAGTAGCTTCACTGGAGTCAGGCCAGATTAAATCAGATGGGGGTTTAGCCCAGAGTTTACTATAGGAGAAGCTATTGATGCTACTCAAAATTAAGGCTGCCTGACAGTTTTTAGGGAGATATATAGGTGGTTCTTACTGAACATGCAGTTAGGCAAGGCACGTCTTTTGATAAAGGTTTAATTATGCTGTGGATTTTACAATCCAGTAATGGAGACCATGGAATTTCATGTACAATCAGTCAAGGGCAAAGCTTTTTATATTAAAAGCAGGTAGTGTTTTCCTCAGTTCCTCATTTGCTTCTGACTGAAGCTCTGCATAGGTTTTGCAGGACTTGGAGAGTATTAGCGACATTCAGTGCTACAGGAATGGAGGAACCATTCCAACAATCCCGTCTCTTATGATTACCTTAGTGGTCTGCTTAACATCTATGGCATCCCTAACATTATTAAGCTATTCATAACGGTCTTGCAGGTGTCTTTCTTAACTGTTTTTCTTACAAAATAAATTTTAGTTTTGTATGACTTTCTAGGTCAGTTGTTAGGACAATTTGTAGACAACACCAAGCTGGGTGGGAGTGCTGATCTGCTGGAGGGCAGGAAGGCTCTGCAGAGGGATCTGGACAGGCTGGATCCAATGGGCTGTGGCCAATGGTATGAGGTTCAACAAGGCAAAGTGCCAGGTCCTGCATTTGGGCCACAACAACCCCATGCGACACTACAGTCTTGGGGAAGAGTGGCTGGAAATCTACTTACGGAAAAGGACCTGGGGGTACTGATTGATGGCTGAACATGAGCCAGATTGTGCTCAGGCAGCCAAGAAGGCCAACAGCATCGTGGTCTGCATGAGAAATACTGTGTCCTACCAGGCCAGGGCAGTGATTGTTCCCCTGTACTGGGCACTGGTGAGGCCACACTTTGAATCCTGTGTTCAGTTCTGGGCCCCTCACTACAAGAGAGACATTGAGGTGCTGGAGCAGGTCCAGAGAAGGGCAACAAAGCTGGTGAAGGGTCTGGAGCACAAGTGTGATGAGGAATGGCTGAAGAAACTGGGAGGGTTATTCTGGTAGAAGAAGATATGGCTCAGGGGGTACCTTATCGCTCTCTACAGCTACCTGAAAGGTTCTACTGAGGTGGGGGTTGGTCTCTTTTTCCAAGTAACAAGCGATAGGACAAGAGGAAGCAGTTTCAAGTTGTACCAGGGGAAGTTTAGATTTGATATGAGGAGAAAATTATTTACTGAAAAGGTTGTCAAATGCTGGAACGAGCTGCCCATGGAAGTGGTGGAGTCATCATCCCTGGAGGTATTTAAAATGTGTGGTGTACAGGGACATGGTTAGTGATGAACTTGGCAGTGTTAGGTTTATGGTTGGGGTCAACGATCTTAAAGGTCTTTTCCAACCTAAATTATTCTATGATCCTATTCTATGTCTGAGTCCAACTGGCTGATATACTTAGTCCCACTCTCCCTTGGGATGATTATTTTCTTTAATAAGGATTTCACATTTTAGAGAAGTTCAAGTCAGACGGATACACTTACTTTAAAAGAGGAAGGATATAAGAATTTTAAGGCCGTATCCTTGCTGGTCTTTGAAGTTAGTGATGTTCTTCTGGCTTATGTTTGTGGAGCTTTTCTGCCATTGGCAATCTCCCAGGAAATTTTTCAGAGTTAAATCTTAAATATTTTCTCAAGCAATGTTATTACTGTAATCTCTCTAGAGTGAAGTAGTTGCAAGATCTGCAGAATTTGGCCTAGGGGCTCTAGTAAATGAAAGTTTGTGATTGTCTAATTTAGACCATGTCATCATCTAGATTTTTCCTTAAAATGACTGTTGTAGAGCTTCACTGTGGACTGTGGACAATAACCTTTCCAGTTCTCTAGTAACAGCCCTCTGCAAGTTCACTTCCTCAATGTGCAGCACAAATTTACCCAGAGGTTGACGTTTGAGCTGGGTGAGAAAGCCGGTTGTAAGGTAAAACTTTTTTAATTAGAAGCTTTCTGTTGGCAAACTTCATTTTGAGAAACTATTTTTCATTAACTACATGGATCACAGTGAAAGTACTGAGAAAACTTTTCCAGCTGAAAATCTCTTATTTCAGTAAAATGGAAAATGCCCTATTCAACTGAAATTACATTTTGAAATGTTTGATGTTTTATTCCATTATTTCATGATAGAACAGCAGTAACAATACCTAATTGTGACAGACAGTGGAATGCTATGACATGGCTTGACTTGATATCATGTGTCATGAGTTAGTTATGAATAATGAAAGTAATATAGAGTTTCAGATTTTTTTTCTTTTTAAATGTTATTTTGTGCCAAACTTAGAAGGCACTGATTTTCGTTTGAAGTTGCCATAAATAAAATAATTTCAAATGTGGAATTTGCTCACAGATAAAAAGAAATTTTAAGGTTTTCAGCCATATCTTATACTTAGGAGATAGCATTTGAGGTGTCACACCAAAACTGAACACCACAAAGAAGAAACCCGACTATTTCATTTGCAGCCAGCTAATCCATATCAGATCTCACCTGATGCTGATAAACTACACTGATTTTCGGTTCTCATCTTGTATCCATGAAGTGTCCAGTGAAGTCAACAGTGTTCCCCAGTTAGGGCCATGATTCAACAAATCCTAGTTAAAATAATTTTTTTCCACTTCAAGGAGCAATGTGCAAGCTGCTTTTAACCTCTTGTTTTCCAGATTAAACAGAAACTGCTCTGTCCCAAAGTGAAAGGGCAACCTGTGTGTTCAGCCTCAGGGGCGTGTTTTACCGAACAATATTGGCCTTTGCTGTTTGTGGCTGTTGCAGTTACTCTTCAAGTGACAAAATTTCTGTCTCTGTAGCAACATTTTCTATTAGTCAAACAGAGATTCAGCCTGATAATGATGCTCATACCTACTCCTTTGAAAGGTAAAATGGTGTCTTTGTTCCAGTACACTCAAGCATGGAAGAGCATAGAGTTTTGCCTAGAAAGGATTCTTCTGTATCACTGGTTCTTCTAAGTGAGAGATGAAAAAATCATTTCCATTACAGAACTAAAACTGAAGAGTAAATCTCACATTGGTGTAAATTAGGAGCCACTCAATTGCAGTTACTAGCTTGGTTCTGGTCACTAGAGTAGCTCCAGTACAGTCAATGGACTTACTTTGGATTTACATCGGATCTAAAAGAGATCAGAATTTGACCTTAGGTGTGTTGGCACAAACTTGTGTAAACAAGTAAAGAAGGATGGAAAAGTTTTTTCCTTAGGAAAAGTAATAAGTGCTAGGAAATACAGAGTGTTAGGTTTGTAAGAAAGCTGTGATATAGAAGTAGGTACTGGCACAATAAATGCAAGCTGGCAATTCTGTACAACGAAAAAAATAAGCAGGCCATTTTTAAGTAAGAAGCTAACACAATATGGGATTTTTTGGCAGTAATACTTGTTGAAAAGGCTGCCACCATCTTTTTTAACATTAGCCATGTATTCTTGGCTTCACGTTGCAGTTCACTATCTTATTGGCTAAATAAGTGAGTTGACAGAAATGTTCGTGGTCCTGTGGTGCAAAGTTGAGTCTTGATGTAATTCAGGTTAAAAAGTAAAATAACCTCAAAGAAAAAAATATGTAAAAAAGCTGTGTCCAATGGAATAAGCTCCATCTCCGTAGGAACGTAGACAAGTTCCTACTGAGCCACACCTGGCTCACATTCAGACAGACTCATCACCAAAAAAGCCCTTATTATGGGATGCTGTGGACACACTTTTGCTTCAGTGGTTTCTGGCTCTAAAGAAATATTGTTGTGGAAACAAAGATAATATCACTCTGTTGCCTTTTAGTCTTTTCCATATCAGTCCTTGAGCACTGTAGATCTCCTTATTTAAGCTATAAAAGTTAGACAACAGCGTAGGATCTGGTAATTGCACTAGGAGTTAGACTATGACCAAACATGGTCGCTTTATTAATAGGATTTCCCCTAGAATAGAGAAGATCTAATGTTAGCTTGTTTTGGTTTCATGTTTACAGAGCTACTAAGGAGGGGACATTCATTGCCTCAGTCTTAGCCTACTAAGCTACAGCTTCCCAGGCTCCCTCCACATGGATCACAGAAGTTACAAAGCTCCATCTCCACTGCCAGGAGAAAAGTAGCTCCTCAGGCTCTTTTCTTCCCTTTAGAATCACATAAGAAGGGTCCTACAGATTCTCCGAGAGGGTTACAGTATGTGTCATGGAGAGCACATCTTGAAGGATTGGTAAAACAGGCATGGTCTGCACTGTGTTAAGCTGACTGGATTCATCCAGAAGAAATGAAGCATCTATGACCAACAAAATATAGGTTCTGTAGCTGCCTAAGCTGTATGGATTCTGAATTATATCTGGCTTGCATACATCCATGAGAACATGTATTTTTTTCCACAAGTCTATTAGAAGAACCATCTAAATCACAAGAAAAAACATTAGAATTTATTAGTGGCAAACATGATATGCCTTGTGTGGTATTTGGAGGGCTCCAAATGACCTCAGTGGTGAGCTGGAGCTTCATAACCTCAGTTAGGAGAAAGATGAACACTCTTCAGCTTCTGAAGGGTTGTTACACAGAACAAAAGAACTCACTTGGAGGAAAAAAATGATCCAGAAGAGCTCTTGTAAGGTGCAAAGATATTACCATTATTTAAAGCATGACCCTCTTCAGGTGTGATTGGCAGATGACACTATGATATTAACAAAGACCAGCCATGACTGTGTTTGCTAGCCACGAAATTAATGTGACAGAGAGACAGCAATAGAGAAAAGGTTTAACAGATTAATGAAACAAAACACTGACTCCAATTTTAGAGTTAAAATAACTTCTTCCAGGCTCTTTGAGAAGTGGAGGTGCTTTCCTGATCATTGTGCTATTCTGTTGAACATAGGTACTGTTATTTTCAATAAGCAAATGCATCCATTTTTATCAAAGGGGTATACTTGATCTATGACTCTGTTTAGCTGCCAATTTAGACTTAGCACTGGCAAAAAGCAGTTTTTGCCCTTTTTATGCAAGTACTCACTCAATTACTGTTTTTTAATGAGAAGTCATGGTACTGAATTTTTGGCTTTGTGAGTGGTCTGTTTTGACTCTGCTTCTCAGTAAACCCCTGTGTGGCTCAGCATAACTTCCATAGACTGTGCATTTGCTTTTGTTCACAGCACCAGCAGCACGATGGTACACTCTCATTATTTTATGACTTCTTTATTTCAGTTCCCTTTTCTCTACTGCTATTCTAATCTTTGCATCTATTTACATACTTTAAGGACAAAAATATGAGCAAACCTCTACTCAGTTATGTCACCTTTTTCTTCCCTTAATTTGTGTGGTTTCTGTTTTCAAAGGTAAAAAGCACAGCTATGTTCAGAACTGGAGTCAATTAATGTCTGGATTCTCAGAACACAAATTCCACATTTTTGACTGGTTTTAGAGCTTAAACTGCTTCTTCCTCCCTTCCCCCCCGCCGCGCCC